CCACCCACACCACACACCCACACCCAGCCACCCACACCACACACCCACACCCAGCCACCCACACCCCACACCCACACTCATTCTACAGCCGCACACACATTTTCTAGATGTTACTGCACCGAAAACAGTCAGAAGATTTCGTGCAACAAATTCTTCGGCTATTAGTTGCGCACACACATGTGCTTCGTTCTCACTATCGACTACTTTCCAAGTATGCTCGTTATTACCGGTCATGTTGCCCTTTTCTTTGATGAGAAGAAAAAAAAAAGAAAAAAGTCCGTAGTGCAGCTTCATATATTTTTTCTTTCTTTCTCATTCCGTAATCTTGTAACAACAAAATAAAAGCGCATAGACAAGCAAAACACAACCATGCTGACAGGGATACTCGTTACCATATTGGTTATTTTGATCCTTTCTTATTGCTGGCACATTCATCGAGCCTATAGTTTCTTCATTCGTCTTGGCATTTCTGGTCCACCACCAAAATTCTTTTTTGGTAACTTTTTGGATATTCTCAAAACCAACCGCATTTCGTTATGCATACAAAAATGGACAGAAAAATATGGGCAAATATTTGGCTATTTTGAAGGACATACGCCCATTCTTGTCATATCTGATCCTGATATTTTACAAGATGTATTCATTAAATCATTTTCCAATTTTTATTCACATCGTGATCAGCTGTTTGCAGACCCCCATGCAAAAAACGTTCATCTATTCACTGCCAATGGTCTCCGTTGGAAACGACAACGATCCGTTATTAATCCGACATTTTCATCATTGAAACTCAAACAAATGTTTCCATTGATCAATCGAAGTGTTGAAATTCTCATGGCAAAGATGGCTGAACAGTATCAATACGGTCAATCATTTGATATCTTCACTTTTCTTAAACGTTTCACTATGGATACAATTTGGTCGTGCGGATTTGGTCTTGATACTGATATGCAGAACAATCCAAACAATCCATATCTTCTTGAATCACAACGAGTCTTAACCAAAGAATGTTGTATAACTAAACTGTTAATTTGCTTTACTTTTATAACTGAACTCAAATGGCTCTGGTATCGACTCTTTCACTACGATGGGGTGATTCGATACTGGCTTCGTCATTATCTACCGATAACACGAAGATTTATCAGCGAGGAACCAAAACTATGGATTGAAAAACAAGCAGAAGAATTAATACACAAACGCATCGAGTTGGGCAATACAAATCGAATAGATCTGTTGCAATTGATGCTTGAATCAGCTTCGGATCGTGACTTCATTGAAGTAAGCAGTTATTTTCTTGTTTGATAGAGTACTAACTTTATCAGAGATTATTGTAAATGGAGTACAGAGAGGCCCTAGATATTATCATCGTTCTGAAGCCTTGATAAGATCTAGCAAAGTTTCTTGCTTCTTCTTAAAATGTCTCCTACTATCATCGTTCTTCATGGCATTATATTCTGCAATCAGCTTAATGACAGTATCTTATCTATATACTGACCCTCCTCACTTGAGAATCATTCGAAATAGGTAGATCGTAACTTGTAATTCAGTCAATCTGATTCCCATTTTTCAAAATTGAACTGAGAAAACATAACGGCTTGATCTTGAAGTGCTCTGGTTTCGTTCATTTTGAAAGGATCAGCAAACATCAGTTGTTGCCAATGTTAATATGGACATCGAAGCGCCTATGGTTCGAAAACTGACTAAAGATGAAATTTTGGCAAACATCTATTTTTTCAGTGAGTAATTTTGCTTATTTATCCATCTTTTCTTTTTTACGATTTGGATTTCTCAAGTGATCGCTGGCTACGAAACGACAAGTACGGCACTTGCTTATGCTTGTTATGTCCTAGCGACTAATCCAAACGAACAACGCAAATTACAAGAACATATCGATACTCATTTCAATCCAACAACCGAACATGAAAATCCAAGCTATGAAGTGATTGCAGAAATGGATTATTTGGATATGTTTATTCGCGAAACTCTTCGTATGTATCCAACTGCACCGAGCGTCGTTCATCGGCAGAATGTTGAAGAGTTTCATATCAGCAATATAGGCACCATTCCAGTTGGTACTCTCATCACTGCGAATATGTATAGTTTACATTTTAATCCTAATCTTTGGGGTCCAGTTGATCCGCATACGTTCTATCCGGAACGATTTGTTACTAAGCGACATCCGCTTGCATGGATTCCATTCGGTATTGGACCACGAAATTGTGTTGGAATGCGATTTGCACTGATAGAAATGAAAGTAGTACTCGTTCGACTTTTGAAAATCTATTCAATTGTTGCCTGTGACGAACAAACCCATCAGTCAATAGACGAACTTGAAGAATTTATTGTTATTGCACCTAAAAAACTCATTATTCGATTGCATCGCCGAAACGAGTAGAAATTATGCACTCGGATCACATTTTTTTTTCTTTTTTTTTATTTCGTTTATCAATAATAAATAACTATTAGATGCTATGTGGGTGTGAGTGTGGGTCGGATGAGTGGTTGGGTGTGGGTATGAGTTTGAGTGTGAGTAATCTTTGAATGAACACCCACACCCAATTACACCCACCTCCACCCACCTCCACACGCATACTCACCCTCACCCCCACGCCCACTCTCATTCAACCCACACCCCACACCCACACCCTCACACCCACACCCACACCCACACCCACACCCACACCCACACCCACATCCACCCACACCCACACCCACACCCAGTGATAGTTATGTGTTTTGATAGAGTGAAGATAATCATTTGTCAAATGTGTAGTTTAGATGCTTAAATATATCAAAATTCATCAATAGTTTTAAAAAGTATGGCATATTTAATGAAATTATTTTCCTCTGTTTTAAAGAACATAACACTAGTAGCAAGACTGACCAAATGCGTCAAGAATTTTCTGAGCTACACGATGAACCTAATGGAATTGATACTGAACGTTATGTTACTTTGAGTTCAGATGTTGAGAATCGTAGTATTGAATTGTTGTCGTCAAACAACAGAAACTATGTACAAATTAAAACAACAAAGTTATAGAATGCCTCGAGGAAAACAAAAAAATCGTTATGATCTACATGGAACAATGCAATGTTTATTGGAAAGCGAATCAGTTCAGCTGCTCATCATAAGATAAAACTAAATAAATATGAAAAATTTGCTTGTATTTGTCTTCAAGATACACGAGGTAAAAATAACGAACACAGTGCTGATTTGGGGTCGTCGCCAAATAATTGCAAATCATCGGTGTCTGACGAGTCTCGGATGAGTACAACGTTTCATAAATCATCAGCTGGTACTAGTTTCGATACTGGTGGTCGCATGCATCGAGGTAAATCATCATCGATATTTCTACATTGAAAAACAATTTGTTCAATAGAAATCATTGAGCTCCATACAGAGGACAATTTACATGTATATCCGATGTTCGTGGTAAGATAATTTTAAATAAGTAGGAAGAACCATAGTTTTTATTTAGCTGCTAGATAATCATGGTGTTCGTCTTGGAAATGATAGCAAAAGTAAGTACATTCAGGTTATATATATAGTGTGCGTTATTTGTTTAGTCTTTCAGATATTATGGCGATAGTTTCTATAATTCTGATGTCAAAAAAATAAATAATAACCGAGTAAGTATATATTTAGTTTTTGAAAAGAAAAATTCAATCATTCATATAGGTTTCTAATGATATTTTCAATTAACGTAAATATATATAAGAATTAAGATAGAAAAATAATCGAAGTCATTTTTTCTATAGCTGATGATCATCCAATTAAACATTATCTTCCACCACCTTCATTGACAAATACAGATGATATATTTATTAAAGCAATAAGAAAGGATGAAGACTTTGGAAATATCCCTAGAACATAAATTTGTTATCTACCATTAGGTAATATAGTATTCTTTATTTTATTTTTAATGTTTAGTTCAACAATGACTTTTTTTGTATTTCATTAGACAAAGTCAAACCAGTTGAATTAAATGAAGAAGCTAGTGTTGACACACAAATTGTATCAAATACTTGTCTTGCTCATTTTGAAGGTTTAGCAGCTATTCAATGTTATATACTACCTTGTGCTCAACAACGAGATGATTTATTCGTTTTGTGCTCAAACTGGATCTGATAGATTAGTAGGTTTTTTTTAACGGCTACTCATCCTTCACTTGAATGTCATGCCGATGTATTATCTAATAGAGAACATCCGTCATCACCGCTTTGCCTTATTATATCACCTACATACCAACATGTTGTACAAATAGAAGATGAAGCAAGAAAAATCACATATCGAACTGCTGTGATACTATGTAAGTTACTTCATAAACGTACAGCGAGAACATGTATTCTCGTACAATGTCCGAATAATCATTATTTGCACCTACATCGCATTGCTGCTAATGGTCATGATATGTTTACTGTATTGGATCGTCTTCAAGACATCGTGGGAAAAGTTCAAGTAAAATTATAATTCAGTAGATTGTATTCAAAGTTTTACAGGATTCCTTATTTCAGTTTCACTAAAAACAAGTGAAATTTCTCGTTATAGATGAAACTAATCCTATGTAAAAACGACACCGATAGTGTTGAACCTAATTTTGATTACATTTTTTTTTGTTTTTCTAAAGAATATTAGATACAGAATTGGAATTTGATATACGAAAATTAGAAAGTCTTGGTTTGTCATTACAAGAAGAACGTGTTCCATGGATATTTTTTGCAACATTTTCTAACCAATTGCAGCAATTATCAAAACATGTTCTGCGTGAAAATTATATTTTTTTCTATGAGAGTGCAAATGTCGATGTAGCACATACAATAGAAGAAGTATCATTTACAAAGAAACAAGATCTGAATGTTGTTTGATTTTGTTGAAACACAGCGATCAACTGATTCTATAGGTGCATTACTTTTACAAAAAAGTTTCATGAGTATAACATTCTATGAAAATCAAACACACTAACAACGAAAGGAAACTGTTGAACAATTTACAAATGGTCTTATTGATTTTGTTGTTAATTATGATTTACCTGATACAAGTGATTTTTATATTCGTCGTATTGGTCGAACAAGTAGAATGAATTATAAGAAAAAGGAGAAATAGTTTTGAAAATTCCTTTTTTTTGCATAGGTCATACTGATTAATTGGAGAAATCCATATGATTTTTTGATTCCGATCGATAGTCTGACAGAAAAATTGCTCTTGAACTTACAGTAAAATTATGCCAAGTATATTTTGTTCTCTAAATCGAACATGAATTTTCAATTGATTTCTTTCAATAGGATGGCCAAGCAACATCAGAATTTCTTAAAAAATATGGTGATGTGGGTACTATTGGATTTTATCATGATGACCATAGGTCAACGAATAGTAATGTAGTACTGTTAGTGTGGGTGTGGGATAAGACATACACCTACACTCCGACCCACACAAACCGTCTGTTGAGTAATTAAACTAAGAAGTATTTTTAATAGATTTTAGATTGACATTGTTGCTGAAAATTTTGAGCGCGAGGAATGGTTTTTAAGGATCTTCTGTCATGTTCAATATGTCCTTCATATTTAGCCAATAGACATTAAAGCAAGGCTAAAATTTTGGATATATAGATAGATTTTATATGCTCTTTTATATCATATTATCGAAAAGATGTAAAGCAACATTTTTCAGAGGAAATGATTTCTCAATCGAGTAATAGATTGTCTCTTAAAATAACTTTGAGGAATTTATGAAATTCTTATGAGCCATCCACAATAATCAATCGTTACTGTTCTTCATTAAAAGTATAACTCATAAACATAGTTATTGCTTTTTTTGTCTTTACTATCCAGAGGAGTAATCCTTTGTGATTGTTACTCAACATTTTCTTCAATAACAACTTAGAAAAAGATTCTTTTGTTTGTTTTTAAAATGTGATTATTGTGCTTCAAATAAAATGATTCAGAATGGAGAAAAGAGAGAAGAAAAATAAATTTACACGTGTACATGAGAGTCAACAAAAAAAACATATGGATAAATTACAGATTAGAAGTAAGAATATTTAGAGAAAATAATTGTAGAAAAATGCGTTCAATAGAACATTTGATTTCCGCAGATAGTAACCTTGTTTGAAGTAGACATTATCAAACTCTATTCAATCATTAAGATAAGATTTATCTTGCTTTATATGTCAACCTCGCACAACATCATTTCTATTGAATATGAGAATAATATTTTTCTTCACTCAATCCATATACCACACTCACAAGTTAGTGTTCAAAAATTGTAAATAAAGAAAAAAATTTTATTTGATTAAAAAGAAACTATTCTTTTTACAAAATTTGACAAGTATGAGAATTAGCTATTTAATTATTATCAGATGATGACAATGTTACTTCCAGTTTGTTTCTTTTTTTTTGAGATAAAGTCTTTATTGTTATAAACTATTTTGGGCGTGGATGTGTGTGGGTGTGGGGTGTGGGTGTGGGTGTGGGTGTGGGTATGAGTCTTCTGTTCATCCACACGCACACCCACACCCACACACCCACCCACACCCACACCCAGCCCCACACCCACACCCACCCCCACACCCACACTCACACCCACACCCCACATCCACACCCACACTCACACCCACCCACACCCACACGCACCCGACCATTTATTTGACATAATTGGCCATTTTCATTATACGGATGACGGTTTCTATTGGCTTAATTCAGCATTTCCACAGCACAATCAACCATTTCTATGGCACAGCTGAGCATTCTTGTGGCTCAAATGAGCATGTCTGTGTCACAATTCGCTATGTCCATATTAGAAATGGCCATAACTTTGACATGAATCACCATGTTAGTCGTTATAATTAACTAAAGCATAAACTTTATCATATACATTAGCATCTTTCAATATTTGTTGTGAACTATTTGAATATATCTATAGTATGTAATACAGAAAATGTTACAAATATTAATAATTTCTCCTAAGCTCATCATTATACGGAATTCATTTTTATTTAAAAATATAGGGACATCTTTGTCATCATTGCGTCAGTCTAGGGCCAAGTGAATCGACATTCAATGTCGATGAACGTTACTTGTCAGATTATATACTGTCGTTATTGTAAGTAATATATTCTTTTGATATTCTAATATGATTATATTGGAGTTTTTTCAAGAATAGACTGTTCGAAGTATAGAAAGAGGAGCATGTCTGATCGAAATAACTCAATATGAACTCGGTATGAGAATAGCTATCGAAATTTTTTGTTGGTAGGCTTTTTATTTATATTCATAGATGAGTATAATAAGTAACGTGTTTATAAAATAAAATGTGGTTTGGTTTTTTTTATATTATTTGTTGGTGTTCAGTGTTGTTTGACATATAATTATGTTCTCATGTTATTTCGTTTGCAATATTTAATGCCGATAAGCTCCTCTAGCAAATCATGTCATACCCAACATGGGCAAAATGCGCATTCTGTGTAATTAGAGTGTGGGTGTGGGTGTTTTCTTTCGGCTGATACCCACACCCACACCCTCTAGGTCACGCTTGCAGCATCCTAGATGGTTGTCCTAGGATCCCAGAAAATGCACCCTTGCGTCTCTGGTGGTCTGTATACGGTTTCAAATGATGTGCCTAGCTTTTGAAAGGGTGCATCTAGCAGGATAGATGACCCCATTAACATCTCAGGTGATGCGTGTAAGATTTCAGATGATGCTTCTGGGACTTACATGACTGTGTTAATTCGAATTATAAGTTTATAATTATGATAAAATTTAGCTTTTGCTTTTTTGCTAGACTTATATGGATGTTTCAATTCGACTTATAAATTTATAAGTAAGATAAAGTTTATCTTTTGCTTTTTTGCCACACTTATATAACTGCCTCAATTCGACTTATAAATTTATAAGCAAGATAAAACTTATCTTTTGCTTTTTTGCTACACTTATATGGATGTTTGAATTCGAGTTATAAATGTATAAGTCGAATAATATTTGTTTTATTTTTTTGCTGCTTTAAGAGATGTGTGTCATTGACTGAAATTTTGCTTTTGCTTTGTGCCTAGTGAAATATGGAGACCGTTTTTTTCATTTATATTCGAAGTCGAATTAGGCATCTACTCCTTATGGCGGCAGAACAAAATTTATTATATGTAAAGAATGAAGATACTCTCGATTTTACACTAATAGGTATATTGAAAAAAGATTGAAACAAATACATAAGTCAGATCTAGAATGGTCTCTGTCCTATCATAGCATATTTTTCTGGGACAATTTTAGCAAGAGTCAAGGAGACAGTCTTAAATATTTCTTTCCGATGAGAGAAGTCGAAAAATTGAGAGAAAGACGTGAGTCTCTACTGCTAAAATAGGTTGAGCTTGTTGACTAAATGCCCCATGTGCATTTATGTGCCTCCTTTTATCTTTTTATCTACTACCTTCAATTTCTTTTTCTTTCTTTTCTTTCATTGTTTTTTTCTCATATGGTTGAAAGTATTAGGTTGTAGCCTACTGTCATATTAATGATATTTTTACGCATATTGCTCTAGGCTTTTTTGCACGCTTTGTTTCTACATTATATTTTCATATTCCTATATAAGTGCTGTGAGCGTAGTGATAAACAGAAAAGCCAAAAAACCTTAGTTTCACTCATTGACAATTACTTTATGTTGCATAATTGGTATGTTTGCTTTTTTCGTTATTAAATGCATCATGTTTACTTAATGAAGACACGAGCGTTGAACTATAAACATAATGTAACTATGACAATTATGATAGTAGCTATAGACATGCTACCGAGACAATAGTAAAGTCTTCGTATTGGTGAGGATAAAGATGAAAAATTTCGGTGATTCCAGAACTGTCTCAAAGTCACATTAAAATGCTTCGAACTACACAACAATGAGAAAAAACTGAGACTGACAATGTTTGGTCTATAACACGAGGTATCAATATGAAGCCGTAATATGTCGTGTTACAGAACAAAATGTAATGGAGACGCCTATTTGATGGAATCTGGCATTTTTCAGTCAGAGTAGTTGCAGCAAGTTTAGGATTTATTGAAAATGTTGCATACGATGTCTTCTATTAGCATTCATTTTTTGTAGTCTCTTCTTTTTAAGCTAATCATTCTTTCAAAATTCGCCAATATTATTACTTTCTATAATCTTGATCACTTTTTTCATTCATGTTCATTGATTTAATTATACGAGACCAGAAGATTTTTTTCTTTATTCATACTAATGAGTTTAATTGATAAAATGATATGGACTTCATAATGAAGAGAAAGTATTTTTTAAGAGAAAGGTTTATGTGTAAGGCGAGTTAAGATACATATTGGTACATTAAATACACTAGTTTCATTAAGATGTAGCCAGATCTATCAGAATCTATAGGAATCGAAAAAGTTTCGCTTCATTTTGTAAATATGCTTCCGCTCTCATCCACACCCTATAGGTATACTTCCGACGTAACCCTCATTTTCGAAAAGCAAAAAGAACTTGCTCATAAATGTTCGTACGGTATGGTATCTCACACACAGCCATATCATGTGTAAAGTATCATGTAGAGTGTGGATGTGCGTAGACATGTTAGTGCGGAAATAGAATGAACCAAAGAAGTATATACACCAAAACACTCATACCCACCGGCATCTACATTCTCATAGTCATCCTTTTGGTTTTCGAAAATGGATGATCGTGCATTCTCCACCTTCGTTAAGGTTCAACTAAGTATATCACAATCGAATGACAATGAACAAAATAGTAGGATACATCATATCCATTCATTTCGTTTTTATACTGATGGAATGTAATAATTTTACGATGTGTTCGATTTCTTAGAATAAATGGCATCTACTGTAGCACAATACAATAGTTCCGGCTCGGAATATAACGAATGGAAAAATATGAATAAAGTTGGATATCTCTTACATTATTCAATTTTCAGAGTCCTACTCCAACGAGTAGTAAACAAGGATGGATTACTGACTGGACAACGTGTATTGGACTTGGGATGTGGTAACGGTTATTACACACTGTTAGCTCGCTTCGACGAGCTTAACTTTGTTTATTTATTTCATATGTTAAATCTCTT